ACCTATGCAGCATATAAATTCCTGGAAATGGGGTGAGAGGTGGAAAGGGTCAGTGAAATTTACTTGTTGAAAGTCATTGCCAAATCGCTTCCCATTGATTGACCTGATTTGTACCAGTGATTACAAGAGTGTCTACTTTCTCACAGATGTTCATATTGTGTTTGCCTGTTTTTCTGATTGTTGGCAAATTCAGTGAAGGTGTTGTGGGCATATCTATAAGCATGAACATCCTCTTTTGTGTTTAAATCCCTCTTGTATTTTCTTTTTTTCTTTTCAGCAGTCTGTTTCTGTGAGCTGTCTCTTCACCTCCTTTGCCATTTGAATTGTGGCAAACAAGAATTTGGGGTTTTATCTCACTGAAAAAGAAATGCTATGTTTTGTATATTTTGTAATATAGTATAATGCATGTCTTTTATCTGTCATTTAATCTTTTCTCACTTAAAATTTTTTTCTCACTTTTACAAATCTGATTTTTGACCTTATATATGTTTTTTTTTTTTTTTTTTGCTATTCATATAATCTGTTTTTACATAGCCAAATTTGTTATTTTTGGATTTTAGATTTGGGACTTGTGCCTTGCTTAATGAGATACTCTCTACTTTGAAATTATGAAACAATATTTCCACATTGTAACATCTTATGGTTTCATTTGTGAATGGCTGCGGAATTCATCAAATACATTTGTAGTTTGGTCGTGGGGGTCATGAGACTTCCCTCCTTGATCTATTAGCACGGTGATCTCGATGGCTAGACTTCCTAGCATTGAACCATGTTTGCACTCTTGGTTCCACTTGATCCTGCTGTTGGTGCTGTGTGAGTGTGAGTGTGTGTGTGTGTGTGTTTGCGTGCGCTTTAATTTGCTTGGCTCTGTTAGTAAATTCTCCATGCTGAGTTTTTGCACTGTTATTCTCAAATGAACTCAGTCTGTACTTTTTTTTTCTTTTTGCCTCCTGACTCCTAAGCGTAATGTATTAAAGCAGGTTTCCATGACAACATAGGAGTCTGGATTTACATTTATTTTCCTGCTTCAATGAAATGGAAAACAGCTAGATTGAAGATGATTGCACCAGAAGGACCTGCTAAGAGAAGGCCCCCAGCAGGTTGATGGTAAGGTCTCCCCAAGTGCCCTTTGATAGACAAAAAAAGTGTTCGTTGCCTATATTCATGAACAATGAACCAAGCTTTCTTTCTCTTTAGATCATACGGTTCCGAGTACAATGCATTTAAATGACAAACCAAAGCCAGGCTAACAAAAACAAAGTGAAATAAAAAGCCCCAAACGTTTTTTTGTTTTTTTTTAAATAGGTTTCACATCCACCGTGGGGCTTGAACTCACAACCCTGAGATCAAGAGTCACGTACTCTACCAACTAAGCGGCCAGCTCAAATAGTTTTTCAAAATTTAAAACTTTTGATTTTGAGATGATGCTAGACTCCATGCAAAGTACAGCAAATCTCTATGTCCACACTCTTTGCCAGATTTACAAATTTTGTCAAACTGTATAACATCTCTTTTGTTCTCTCCTTCTCTGTCTTTTTTTTTTTGAAATGGCTTGAAAGTCGGTTGCAGACATTCTGCCCCTTTATCCCTATATATTTCATTTAGTATGTATTTCCTTTTTTTTTAAGATTTTTCATTAATTTATTAGAAAGAGAGTGAGCACAAGTGGGGGGAGGGGAGCAGGAGAGGGAGAAGCAGACTTCCTGCTGAGCAAGGAGCTTGGTTCAGGGCTCAACCCCAGGACCCTGGGATCATGACCTGAGGCGAAGACAGCCACTTAACCTACTGAGCCACCCAGGCACCCCTCCATATGTATTTCCTAAAACTAAAGACATTATCCCACATTGCCTCCGTACAATGATCAAATCAATATTGATTTACTATTATTGTATAATTGACCTTTTTCAGTCCTCCCCAGTTGTCCCAGTAATGTCTTACCTGACAACAGAAAATCCAGAAGCAACTTTGATCGCTTAATTAAGGTGATGTCTGCCAGCTTTCTTCTCTATGAAGCTACTGTTTTTCCTTTCTTTTGTCATTGGCAGGTATCTTGCAGAGAGATACTTGGAGACCATGGAAATATTCCTTTACTTCTCAAAACTCCAACCATCAGGGTTTTTATTTATTTTTTTATTTTAAAGAGAGAGAACCCAAGCAGGGGGAGCAGCAGTTGGAGGGAGAAGGAGAGGCAGGCTTCCTGCCGAGCAGGGAGCCTGAGGTAGGGCTTGATCCCAGGACCCTGAGATCATGACCTGAAGCAAAGGCAGACATTTAACTGACTGAGCCACCCAGACCCCCCCCCAACCATCAGTTTTGACATTAGCAGATGGTTATTGTGCGAATCAATTATTTGAAAGTGCCAAAGCCTGGTTTTTCTGCTTCTGTTCCAAAGATGTTTAAAAGGCAGAGGCTGACTTTCAATTTTTAGATGACTGTTTTTTTGGGGGGGGAGCTGGGGGGTTTTACAAAAGAAAGAGTAAGTGGTTTCAGGAAGTGGTGGGTGTTCATTTCCAAGTTACAACTGAAATGATTCTTTCGTCTTATATACAACACACAAGTCCTGTGTCCTGAAGGATTTCCAGAGGAATCCAGAGGATCTCCAGAGGATTTCTCTGTGTTTCCTTCCTCGTGTTTTTCAGCACGCGCTTCCCACCTGGAACTGTGGTGGCTTTGGGGGGATCCCGTGAATCGGAGGGAAGCCGACAGCTCTGGACAGGTTTGCACAAGGAGGAAGGAGAACACTGTTGTACCCATAATTCCTGATACCCTGGGACTGCAGCTACCTTCTCTTTGTTATCCCTGGGTCCATGCTTGCCTCATGGCACAGGATGAAAGATTCTCGGAAAGAAAATCAGATTATGTGAGCCCTTTTGTGTAAACCCTCTAGTGGCTCCCCATTGCTTTTAGGATAAAGGCGGTTTGGAAGGGGGCTTAATGTGGTATATTCAAGGCTCTTCCCCTTCTAGCCCTGACTTTGAGTCCACCATCCCTTCTCTCTCTGTGCCTGGATATGCCTGTCCTCCCCTCCGCCCCTCATCCTGGTTTCCCCACCTGGAACCCTTCCATTCCTTCCTCCGCTGACTCCTCCTCACCTTCAGATTCCAGCCCAAACTCACTTCCTTGGAGGATCCATCTCTATCCCTCCTACCCACACCCCACTTTATGCCCCCAGGGTTGTTTAATTAATGCCCTCCCAGACTACGAGGTCTACAAGGAAACCTAGCATGTTTATTTTGCTCATTGTAAATCCTCATTACTTATTGTATGTTGATTCTTCCATTCAACAAATATTTATTAAGCACCAGCTAGGTCAGGCACTGGGTGTAACATGGTGAAGACGATCCCCACAATTTCTGCTTAGTGGGGAAGGGAGAAGATACACAGAAAACCCCCAAAATTTCAGGAGGTGCTGGTGTGATGTCAGTAACAAGGAAGGGGACAAAGGGATGAGGGGGGAGGCATTTGCAAAGGGTGGTCGGGGAAGGCGCGTTGGAGCACAGAAGTGGGGCCGGATGCTAGAGGGACAGGAGAGGGAAGAGCCAGAGGCCGGGAGTAGGTTTGGTGGGTTAGAGAACAGTGGGCTGAGCTCCTGGCAAACTAGTATTTGTTTAATGGATCGGAGGAAGAATGAGCGCCCTCTGCCTAGAAATTGTGCTGGGTGCTTTCTCATGCTTTATTGTTCTTGCCCCTTGTCAGATCTGACCTGCAGGTATGGTTACCATCACAGAGAGGAGGCTAACCCAGAGAAAGAGAGAGAGAGAAAGAGAGAGAGAGAGTGTCCCACGTCCAAGACTGCATAGGAAGTGAGTGGAGAGGGACCCCAATTCCACTCGGTTCTGGCTTTCTAGTCTTAAGGCTCCTTCCCTTTCCCCTCCCGCCCCTCAAGGTGGGTTGGCCGCTGTCATGCCCCATTCGTGAATGATATTTGCTAGACATTCAGACACACACGGACTCTGGGTCCGTGTATTGGAAAGCGGGTGTGTCCACCTGTGCGGTAACCGGGCTCTGTGGGGCCTGGTTTGCCCTTCCGCGAGATCCTGCACCTTCTCCCAGGTGTCTTTTCTCCAACTTGAACCACAGGCCGCGCTTAAGGCACCCTCCCTTAGCCCTGCCACGAAGACGCTGAGCGCACTGGGCGCGCGTGCACGTGGCTGTCCCCAGGGCCCGGGCGCTGGGCGGGGGCGCCCGCGCGTCTAGTAAGAGACGCGCTGGCAGGACTGGGACGAGGGTGACGCGAGCGCAACATTTAAGGGAGTACCAAAAAACCCAGTGACCAAGATAAACAGTATTTTAATGAAATATTTTTAAAAATCAAGATGAACCTCCCCAAGTCCAAGGCAATGAAATAGCAAAAACGTTAAAGAAGGGATCCGTCTCGATGGGTTGGGCATCTGGGGCGCCCCCAAACTCAGACTCGAGTCGCTGGGTGTCGGGGCGCCCCCTGGGCCAGGGCGCGCCGGGGGCCCTCGAGCGCTGGGGCCCGGGGTGGGGAGGCTGGCGGGCGGGGCGGGGCGGCGCCTCCCTCTCGCGGTCCTCCCTCCACCCCTCCTGGGCCTCTCCCGGGCGCCGAGTCCCTTCCCAGTCCCAATCCGCGCCGCCTTTTCCCGCGACCCGCACGGGGCCCAGCTGACGGGCCGCGTTGTTTACGGGCCGAGCAGCCCTCGCTCCCGCCGCCCGCCCGCCACTCGCCTGCCCAGGTGCCCGCCCGGCCGTCCGCGCGTCTGTCTCTCCGCGCGTCTGTCTGTCTCAGCGTGCGCAGATCGTGGCCCAGAGCGCTCCGGGCCGAAAGCCGGGCGGCCGGGGCGCAGCGAGGGGCTCCGGGCCGGGAGATCGCGGGACGGGGCCCGGGCCGCGGCGGTTCGGGGTCGGGGCCGGGGCCGCCTCCGCCGCGGCGCCGCCGGATTTGTAGAGGCCGAGGCCCCGCGCCCCTGCTGGGGCTGTTTCTAGGGCCCTCCCGGGAGGGGCTGCGGCCGGCTGGCCGCCCGCGTGGAACAGAAGGACGCGCGTCCCCCAGCGCCACTCGGGCGGCCGCCTCGGAGCATGACCCCCGCGGGCCGGCGCCGCGCGCTCTGATCCGCCGGGACCCCGCGCTCCTGCAGCCATGGGCGCCGGGGCTGGGCGGGGGGCGGCGACCGCGCCGCTGCTGGTGGCGGTGGCCGCGCTGCTGCTGGGTGCCGCGGGCCACCTGTACCCCGGAGAGGGTGAGTCTGGGGGCCCGGGAGTGGGCGGGGAGCCGCGCGGTGGGGAGGGGACCCCTTGCCAAAATGGAGCCCACCGCCGTGGACCCAGAGCCCTCCTCGGTGCGTGGGGGGGGCGCGGTGGGGTGGTGCGGTGGCCGGGACGGTAGCTTCGGCCCCGCGCGGGGCAGGAAGCCGCTGACCTTGGCCTTTGCCCGCCTGGGCTCGCGGTTCCGCGCCCCGTGTGCGGGTCCCGGGCCGGAGGAACCTTGCCCCAGTGCCCGCCCCGCCGCGGGTGCCTCTCCCAAGCGCGCCTCGGACCCGTGCCTAGTCCTCTCCGAGCCCACCTCGCTCCGGAGACGCGACACGCGTCCTCTTCGGGTCTTCTGTAAAGTGGGGTCCCTGGGGCCGTGCGGCCTTGGACAGTCAAATGCCAGGGGCGCACGGGGTTTGGAGCGAGAGTCGAGGGTGACAGGACTGAGGGTCCCTTGGGGTCCCTGATCGTAGGTGCTCCCCAGGGAGAATTGTAGAATCTGACCCCCTCCCTCTGGATCTAGGCCCGGGGCTACTGGGGACTTCAGATCCGTGTTTACACTTTGGGGTTCTGTTTCCAGATGTCCGGAGGCAAATTCTAGCGCCTTGGCAACGGGGCCTTTGTTGCAGTAGAAGTAGGGGTGTCTTTACTGTGATTATTATAGTGTCACCAGATGCCATGGGCTTATTTCTCTACACCTTCACCATGGCCTGCAGAGGTTGACACTGTTTGCCCATTTCATAGAGGAGTAAACTGAGGTTCAGGTAGGAGACAGCTCGACCTGCCCTAAAGTCAGTGCCAGAGGGAGAACTCGAACCTTTCTGTATGGTGCCCTGGTGAGGTTCTTGACTGCTGCTGGATGTCCCATGTCTCCCCCAAACTCCCACAACTCCCCACCCCCAGCTCTGTGCTTCATGAAGGGCTCTTACCTGTCAACCCAGGGAGGTCTCTAACCTCACCTGAGCCTCTCAAAGCTCCTAGCCCCATGGACTTCCCTCCTGGGCCTCCCTGGGCTGGCAGTGGATGGAGGCAAACTCCAGCCCCAGCATCCTCCCTGGGCTTGGTAGCAGTCCATTCTGGGGGCGGGCCAAGAAATGAAGAACCCTTTAGGACAACATGGCTGAAGTTTCCTACTGGTGTCTGAGGCCCTCCTTTAAAAATATCTGTTGGGTTACTTTTTCAGAATTCTCCATAAAAGGAAATCAGTGCTGGTGAGGAAGGGGTCGGGGAGGGAAGGAACCACAGCTCCTGAGCTCCGGGCGGGCAAATGAGGTCCCTGGGAAAGACACACGGGCTCTGGAGTTGACAACGCATGTTTGCTGAGCTCCTCTCTGTTACACACTGGCTCCAAGGCCCGAGTGCTTGGTATACAGTGGGCACTCAGTAAAGGTGGCAGTTGGCTTGGGTTCTCATTAAGAAAATCCAAGACAGGGTGCCTGAGTGGCTCAGTCGGTTGGACAGCTGCCTTCGGCTCAGGTCATGATCCTGGAGTCCTGAGATCGAGTTCCGCATTGGGCTCCCTTCTCAACAAGGAGTCCGCTTCTCCCTCTGACCTTCTCCCTTCTCATGCCCTCTCTCTGTCAAATAAATAAATAAAATCTTAAAAAAAAAAAAAAAGAAAATCCAAGACAAAGGTTAGATCGTTTCCAGGTTTTGTGTATGTGCGTGCGAGCGTGTGGTTCCCTGCTCTTCTATTTCCTTGTAGCTTTGGTAATTAATTGATCACTTCTTTACATATATACAGTTCCCCCAAGGGCCCCAGAGGTGTATGCTTCTTTCATTCATGGCGACATTTTCGGAGCCTAGAACAGTTCCTGGCGTGTAGAAGGTGTTCGGTGAAAATATTTGTTTTTGAGTCGGTTCATATTCTTTGTGCTCTCAACAGTGCTCCAAGCCATGGCTCTCCTATTCTTAGATAATTCCCAACCACTGTGTACGAATACGGGCAAACTCGTGGTGGGTGTGCTTCCATATGCTTTGAATATATAACCTGTTAATCCTCAACGCCTATAAGGCAGCGTTTATGCTCTCTTCTCACAGGTGAGGCCATTTGGTTTCTTCCTTTCTTTTTTTTTTTTAGAGCATGGGTTTCTTAAAAGTTTGCTCTCTTGGGCTCGAGCTTCCCTTCCCCTGGCCGGTGGTAATGGTTAACAAAATCCTATCAACTCAATGAGATGTGATGCCCCTCGGAGGTTTGGAAACTTCGAGAAACTTTACAGATCATTAATCTCTCCTGTCAACCGGCAGGGCATTTTGGCCTGGGGGTTGGGGGGTGGTGGTGTGATTTTTTTCAGAAGTGAAGGACTTTCTTGGAGATGGCCACTGTCCCGTGGAGTCCCTGCTGTGCTGCTTAGCTGGTCAGCATCGCATGTCCCCCCCCCCCCCATTGCTTCTCGGACTCGGTGGCTGTGGCCTGACATTACTGGGAGTGGAGGGGTGGGGGGGAGGGGCATTGCAAAGTTAAAGAATGAAGGCAATGTGGGATTAATTAAACTAAAAACCCACAGAGCTTTGGGGGAGTCCAGCGAGGTGGCCGATTGAGGCGTGAGAGGCTTGCTTCCAGAGTCCCCTTGTCTCTCAGGTGTCCCTCATTTCTCAAGAGTGGCCTCAGATGTTTCTCCAGTGGGTTCTCTTATGTGCTTGGGGCCCCCGGAGCAGGGCTTCTGCCTGCTCAGTAACCTCCCTGAGGTTATTCTTAACCTCACGTGTCTCTCCTGGAGCCCTGCCCATCATCCCTGCCCTGCTCACTCATAGAGGTCATGGGGGTAAGCTCCCGGGGGGGCCCCCACTGCTCCCCACGCCATTATTGACTTCCGTTCTTGATTTGGTTAGAGGAGGAGCTCTCAGCTTCAGCGCGCTTAACATTTGGGGTTAAATTGGTCTTGGCTGTGGGGGGCTGTCTTGTGTATTGTGAGATTTTGAGCCGAATCCCTGGTCTCTTCCCCCCCAACAATGTGCTGTAGCATCTCCTCTCTCCAGTCATGACAATCACTGGCCATTGCCAGCTGTCCCTAGTTGAGAATCTCAGGGAGATAACCTTTCCCTCGTCTAGGGCACTTCTCCACCTGGGTTCCTGCTCTCTTCTCTGTACTGGGATCTCCGTCTGCCCCAGAGCCTCTCCCTTCCCAGCCTACGAACATGCACTACTCCCTGAACCCCACTGCCCACCACCCACCTCCAGCCTTCCTGTGCCCAGCCTCCCCTGGTGGGCCCTGACCAGCCTCCCTCTTGCCTCTCATCCACCACACTGCCCACAGCTCTCTGGCTAGTGTCTCCATCGCTTTGCTTTGCCGATGGCTCTAGTGAAGGCAATCTCTCACATCCTGAGTGTGTCTCTGGTCCCCTCACCCCAGCTGATCTCTCTGGGTCTGCCACTGCCTACTCCCTCCCCACTGGAAGCCAGGAAGGCGCAGTCCCCTGCAGAGTGTTCCCCAGCCCCGGCTTTCTCTCCACCATCTCTGCTCCCTTCCTGCGTTCAGATGTTCGCTCTGTCTTCATAGAGTCCCTGCTGCCATCTGCTCTCAGCCCAGTTTTGAATTCATACAGTCAAACTCCTTCATGTAGAACAGGGCCAGCAAACTACAGCCCATAGGCTCACTCCTGCCTGCCCACACGGGTTTTATAAATAAAGTTTTATTGGCATCATCTAGGGTTGCTTTTGTGCCCTAACGGCAGAGTTGAACAGTTGCAGTCTCATGCCCACAAAAATATTTATATTTTGGCCCATCACAGAGAGAGTTTTCGGACTCCTAATTTACAACAAACTCCTGAGTATCCTCAGGATGACCTGCCTAATGGCTTGTGGGGTCCCCCGTACAACATGACCGCATCACGAACGTTTGGGGATGCTGGTTTTCCACCTTACAGAGAAAGCTGTATTAAAAAAAAAAAAGATTTTATTTATTTATTTGGAGAGAGAGAGCGAGAGCATGAGAGGAGAGAGGTTAGCGGGAGAAGCAGATTCTCTGCTGAGCAGGGAGCCGGATGTGGGACTCTATCCCGGGACTCCAGGATCATGACCTGAGCCGAAGGCAGTCACTCAACCAACTTAGCCATCCAGGTGCCCCAGAGAAAGCTGTATTAAAGAAATTAATGCCCCCTGAATTCATGGGTTCCAGTGGTATCCAGAAAATACCATGATGTCCCCTTGTTAGCTGTGTGTGTGATCTCAAAATTTATTTATTGGGACAGTCGTCTTGCTTTTGAATGAGGCGCCCTCGCTGTTGGCTTTGTGTCTAGAACTTGAAAGTGGTGTCTGCTGCGAGATTTTCTCTCAAGACCCCTGTGTTAATTTCTGTTAAAATACACACATTAGGGGCGCCTGGGTGGCTCAGTCAGTTGAGCGTCAAACTCTAGGTCTCATGGGCCCAGGTCGTTATCTCAGGGTGCCAAGATCGAGCCCTGGTCAGGCTCCCTGCTTAGCCGGGAGTCTGCTTGAGATTCTTTCCTTCTCCCTCTGCCCCTTCCAGCCAACTGTGCACACCTGCTCTCTATCTCTAAAATAGCGAAATCATCTTCTAAAAAAAAAAAGGATACATACATTGGCTTATGTTTTATAACAGGGCCCTATTTATGGTTTTTTAATTAAAATAACAAGTAATGCATGTTCATTGCAACAGCTTTACAAAAATCTGGACAGGGAAAAAAAAAAAAAACAAAAGTCCCCTTGCAACAACACTTTGTTCCTAAAATCATTCCATTTCTATCCTGGGAGGTGACAGTGCTATCAGTTTGTGTCTTAATTGTACGTGGGTGCGTGTGCACCATTATATGAATTTTAACTCATGCATGGAGTTGTGGGACTGTCCCCACAACTGGGATATGGAACAGTGCCATCACTCAGATTCCCTCTAGACACCACTTTATGGTTAAGCTCTCTCCATCCCTAACCCTAGCAACCCTGATCTGTTCTTCATTGTTTTCTCTGTAGACTTTAAAACATTCTTATAATTGAATTAATATTCTTTAAAAAATTTTTTATTTTTTTTAA